CTTCGCTTGCAAGCGCAAGTACGAGCTGCAGAAGCACATGCAGGCAAAGCACTCACAGAACTACCAAGTGCCCATCTTCCAGTGCCAGTACTGTGCCTACCAGACCAAGTACAAGCAGGCATTGCTGAACCATGAGAACTGCAAGCACACCAAGCAAAAGGAGTTTCGCTGCGCACTTTGCTCTTACTGCACCTTCAGCAACACCAGCCTCTTCTTCCACAAGCGCAAGATTCACGGTTATGTGCCTGGTGACAAGGACTGGCTGGAAAACTATGCCAGCAAGGAGCTGGAGATCAGCTCATCCGAGTCTGTCTTTGGCTATGAGCTTGGAGCAGCCCTGCGTGTGGATGCCAGCTCCCTCTTCTCTAGCAAAGAGCAGTGGGCAAAAGTGAAGCCATCCCAGCCGGAGTCCCAGGGGGAAGAGGGCTGCCAGCAAGCATCCATGGTGCCCCTTCTGGGGCAGGATGCTGCTCCACCTGAGGGCAGCAGTAAGGTTCAGACAGCTGTAGGCAAGGGGGAGCAGAGCTGCATGACTGATGACAGCATGCAGAGTGACACTGCTGCGGGCCCAGCTGAGCTCATCGCTTCTGAGGATGTGGCAGAGAGCTGCATGTTGCACTTGGAGACAGTAAATGTCTCATCTGATCCCATCCTGGAACATTTGACTGGAGATGCCTGCATGGCACAGCCGGAGAGCATGGAAATGCTGTCCTGCAAGCAGCCTCCTCCCGCCTACGAGATGCTGGGCTCCCAAGATGACCTTGGCTTGGAGGACAATGACAATGCGCTCAAAGACATCCCAGACTATAAAAAAGAGGGGGCGGATGTACGCAAGGATGAGATGTTGAGGCTGGAGGACAGCGCAGCAGCAGGTGCCAGCCAGGTAAATGACACTGCAAGAGAGGACATAGGCCACCTTGAGAGGTCATGTTCAGACCACAGCAAGCTGGATGCAGGCCCAGAGATGAGAGAGACCAGCCAAGGTGAACCACCAGAGGCCTGGCTCAGTGTGCTGAAGACAGCTGAGCAGAGCCATCCACCTGTCCCAGGGGATGCAGCCACCTCCAGCGATGACACCAGAAGCAATTCGGAGTCGGTGCTGAAGGCACTGCGGAAGCAGGACAAGGAGCAGGCAGAGACACTGGTGTTGGAGGGAAGGGTCCAGATGCTGGTGGTGCAGTCAGAAAGTCAGATCTTTAAGTGTGAAAAATGCTCTTACATCACACGGAAGGAGAAGTCCATGTCACTGCACTCTAAAGCCAGCTGCCAGCGTCACCGCACCCCACTTGTGTGCCGCGAGTGTGGTGCCAGCTTTAAGCAGCAAAGGGGACTCAACACCCACCTCCTCAAAAAATGCCCAGTCCTCCTGAAGAAGAACAAGGTCCTCAAACCAGCTGTTGTGGAGGCAGCTGGGTCGCACTGTCCTACTGAGCAGCTGGGTGATAATGGTGCAGAAACAGCAGAGAGCGACAGGGGAGGCATGGAGGAGCCTGGACATCCTGAGTCCCCCTGGGAAGCCGAAATGATGCCTGATAAAATGCAGGAGTCGGATGGTCTCTTTGCTGGGGAACATGTGTCAGGCTGTCCTTCCCCTGAGAAGTCTCTCTCTGATGACAGTGCAGAGATGGCAGAAGAGCCCTCACAGCAAGGGGATGGAGCTGAGGCAAGCAGAACTGAGTGTCCCTTGCAGGTTGGGAAACCCTCTGAGAAATATCGGCTGGAGGGTGGGAAGCTGCACTGCAATGCCTGCTCCTTCGTGTGCTCCCGGGTCTCCACCATCACCTCCCACGTGGAGGATGGCTGCCGGAGCCTGGAGCAGTTCTGGTGCTCACTGTGTCCTGAAGCCTTTCGCTCTCAGCGGGCCCTGAAGAACCACTGTGCTGAGAAGCACCTCCTGCATCCCGAGGAAGACAGACCCCACAGCACCCAGCTCCCGGGTGGGCACACAGCCAGCACTGACATGGGGCAGCCCGGCGACCCTGTGCTAGATGCAACCCCCCCAAAAGCAGCACTGCCCAAACAGAGGCGTTTCTCCTGCCCCACTTGCCCTTTCACCTGCCACCAGGAGCGGGCCATGAAGACGCACAAGAAGAGGGGCTGCGTGACACTGGGAGAGTTCCGCTGTGCCTCCTGCCCCTTCACCTCCAAAGTGGCCAAAGCCCTGCGGCTGCACCGCAAGTTGCATCGCAAGCACTACAGCAAGCGGCCGCAGCTACAATGCCGCCAGTGTGAGTTCACCTGCAAGCAGGCCCGCTGCCTGCGGCAGCACGTGCGCATCAAGCACGAGGGGGTAAAGCCTCACAAGTGCCTCTATTGCGAGTTCAGCACCACGCGGCGGTACCGCCTGGAGGCCCACCAGTCCCTGCACACCGGCGTGGGCCGCATAGCCTGCGGCATCTGCAGCCAGACCTTTGGCACCAACTCCAAGCTGCGCATCCACCGCCTGCGGGTGCATGAGAAGACACCCACCCACTTCTGCCCGCTGTGCGACTACAGCAGCTACCTGCAGAATGACATCACCCGCCACGTCAACAGCTGCCACCGCGGCGAGCTCAACTTTGGCTGCTCCCGCTGCGAGGCACGGTTCAGCTCTGAGACGGCCCTCAAGCAGCACGTCCTGCGGCGGCACGAGCAGAAGGTGTCCTACGGCTGCCCACAGTGCGGCTTCGTGTGCCACAGCGAGGCCACGCTCAAGTGCCACGTGCAAAAGCAGCACCCGCACCTGGAGTGTGGCACGTGCAAGGAGAGCTTTCCCAGCCGAGATGCTCTGGAGGAGCACAAGAAGCAGCATTTCAGCCACCGCTGCGAGCTGTGCAGCTTCGCTGCTAAGGAGCGGCAGCAGCTGGTACGGCATTACGTGGAGAGCCACGAGCCGGCCGCCCCCCAGGACAAACCCCTGCAGTGCCCCTTCTGCGACTTCGCCTGCCGCCATCAGCTTGTCTTCGACCAGCACATGAAGGGCCATGGGGGCACACGCATCTACAAGTGCTCCGACTGTGAGTACACCACCAAGAACAGGCAGAAGATCACCTGGCACATCCGCATCCACACAGGTGAGAAGCCCTACAAGTGCCACCTCTGCAAGTACACCTGTGCCGACCCCTCACGTCTCAAGGTGAGCGTCCTGCTTGGGGATGGCTTGGGAGATACATCAGGGTTTGGGGATGAAGAAACTCACAAGGGGAAGTATTGTCCTCTCTGTTCTTTCCTGAGTTTCATATGGGAATGGGCAAGCAGATGGTGCTAATGCAAAGCAATGTGATACTGGGGGACAGCAGCTGCATGTTCTTCTCCGATTCATAGGTGATTATCATCCTCTCACACTAAAGGGCTTTTCCTAGAACAAGAGAGTCAGGCATGGGGTAATGGAAGGAAAATGGCCTGTCTTTACTAAAAGAGGTATTGACTTTTTTAATAGCTGAGCTAGAGCCCTTTGGGGTCACCTGGGTGAGGCTGCTGTGATGCACTCTGTGCAGGGCTCTGCTGGTCTGTTTTCAGCTTGAGCTGTGCCCTAAATACCAAACTACGAAGAAAATCCTATGTCCTGAGACAGAGTGCGCTCAGCAGCAGCAGGGTCTGATCCTGACCCTTCTGTGGATCAGGCTACCAAACAGCCCTCCTGGTCGCTCACAATTGCAGAGATGTCAGACTTGCTCCCAAGCCCCACACATCACAGGGCTCTGCATGCCCCTCGGGCAGGTGGCATAGCCTTGTCCTGACTGTGCCCCATATTCCTCTGTCCAGTACCACATGCGGATCCACAAGGAGGAGCGCAAATACCTCTGTCCAGACTGTGGCTACAAGTGCAAGTGGGTGAATCAGCTCAAGTACCACATGACGAAGCACACAGGTGAGTGTGGCCACGGGGCACCTCCAGCACTGCAGGCAGGGGAGGGCCATGGGGCTGCATAAACCCAACTCCACATTTCCCATGTGAGACACGGTAGACACTGTTCAGTATGTCCCAGTATGCTGATGGATTGGGGATGCCTTGGGCTGCACTCCAGTGCTCGGAAGATGATGAGAAAAAAAGTGGGGTGACACAGACCCCAGAGCCCTTGGAAATGAGGGAGCTGTAGGGGGCCTGCAGGGGAGTAGGCATTAGCGCCAAGGATAGTGTGTAGGAAGGGTCCTTGGACCATTATGGGGATGTTGAGACCCTATGGAAGGGCTGTGGGAGACAGACACCATCCCCTTGACCCCAGCGCTACCCCCATTGCCACAGGGCTGAAGCCGTACCGCTGTGACGAGTGTGAGTACCGCACCAACCGGGCGGACGCACTGCGGGTGCACAAAGAGACACGACACCGGGACGCGCGTTCCTTCATCTGCGAGCAGTGCGGAAAGGCCTTCAAGACCCGCTTCCTCCTCAAGACCCACCTGAAGAAACACAGCGAGGAGAAGCCATACGTCTGCAACGCCTGCGGGCGGGCTTTCCGCTGGGCGGCAGGCCTGCGGCACCATTACCTCACCCACACCAACGAGCATCCCTTCTTCTGCCGCTACTGCCCCTACAAGGCCAAGCAGAAGTTCCAGGTCATCAAACACATCCAGCGGCACCACCCTGAGTGCGGGGCTGGCGACCCCAGCCAGGGGGTGGGCAAAGATCCCAGCACACCCACCGTCCACCTCCATGCTGTGCAGAAGGAGAGCCCAGCTACGGGGCCACCGGCTCCGCAGCAGGAGGGAGAGTGCCTCACAGAGAAGGACGGCATCTCCCAGTGAGTCCTGGCAGCTGCAGAGATGTATGCGTGTGTATAGGCATATATGTATATGGGATGTAATATATGTGGCTGTATAGAAGGAATCTCTTGGCTCCTTTTGATCCTGTTTCTTCAGGCTGTTTGGGGTTCTCCTAGCTGCACTGAGGACCAGGGTGCTGGGAACTGTGGGACAACTCCAGCATGGAAGCAGGTTCATACAGCAAAGGGTATTGTCTGCAGGGAGAAATCACAAAACCCACTCCCTGTACCGAACACCGCTGTACCCAGACTGCTCACTGCCTGTCACTGAACAATTTATTAGGTTGTTTACATAGAAAGGACACAGCAAGGGTAAGTAACATGGCACTGGGCAGGAGCACCACTCCGGCTGTGTAGGCCAAGGGGCTCTGACTGGCTCTGTTGGGTCAGGAGGCAGTGAGTTCCAGCTCCTCTCCCAGCTCTGCCTGAAGTTTGCTGTGCTCCAGCTGTGCTGCTCTGGCTTTGGGGACCAGCCCCATGCACCAGCTCTCCTCCTCTTTGTGTCCATGTCCAGCCATACATGGAGGGACACACACCAGCACACCCCCATACAAGTGCCTGGGAAGGGAGGGCAGTAGGCAGCATCCCAAACCTGGCATGGAGACATCACTGCCTTTCCCCAACCCCCAGAGGCCACTGAAAAGGGGACACAGCAGCAACGATAACACAGAGACTACACAAACAGATTTGACTACAGGGTGGCATGGTCAGCTCTGTGGCCACAACTGCACGGGCCAAAACCAAGGTCAGCCCTATGGCTTCTATCCGGGTTCCGCTGGCACCGTGGGTTCAGTCTTGCTCTGGGCCAGGCGGCTCGGTGATGCGGATGTGGACAAAGAGCGAAGAGGGCGGGATGCTGGTGCCATCCTTGGAGAGGAGATGGATGTGACGGTATCCTACAGAGGGGACAGCAAGGTCGTGGCTGATCACCCCACTCCCTAGCACCTAATCGAGCCCCTCAGCATCTCCCTGCATAACTGCAGCAATCGCTCACCAGGTTTGATGTTGGCAAAGGCCAGGGTGAACTGTCCCACGAAATCGTTCCTGGAGGTCTTGTCATAATCCTCCACCACAAAGCGGACAAGGGCCAGCTGGGGCACGTGAAGCTGGAACTGAAGGGTCTCGTCCCAGTGGGGGTTAAACCCTGGTAAGGGAGAGCAGGCATTGGTGGGTGACAGGGCAGGACAGGCACAGCGGGTCCCCGTAACGCAGGCTCACCGTTGTTCTCAATGTACTTGGTCTCCTGGTGTGCCTGGTCTGCGGGCACCCCATGGATCTCCACGCGTACCAGAGGGTCGATGATGGCTCCATCCTTGCTGTTGGCCACTTTGGGCAGCTGCTGCCCACTGATCACCTGTGCAGAAGGAATATGCAGGATGGTTCTCTGACCAGCTGGGACAGGCAGAGCCCCAGCACAATGATGCAGCTCCCCAGCATCCCCCCTCAGCCCATACCTGGATTGTCAAGGTGACGGGGCCGAGGCCCTGCCAAGTGCTGGGATCACTGGGGTTGAAGAGAGTCCCTTCATCTCTCATGAAGGGCGGTTTAAGCACGTAGCCACAGTGGCCATTCTGGCTGAACAGCCCATCGCACAGGTCCATCTCCATGCCAGCTGTTTGGAAGTTCAGGGCCACTGGGGGAGGTGGCCAAGAATTGGTTCAGCATGGCACACAGCAACTTGGAGACCCTATATCTTGCTTTGCAGGCAAGAACCAGCCTGTCCCCACAGCCAGAGATGCAAGGACACACAGGGCACAAGGTACTGATGTCAGGTGTCCTTGGGCCAGGGCAAGAGCTACAGCCAGAGCTGGCACCAGCTGGCACCAATGCCACTGATGGTGCCACTTCATATGGGACCCAGGGCATTTCCCCAGCCCAGAGCCCTGATTTACACATCCCATACCAATCTGACATCCTGCGTTCCACATCTCCTGGGGGCTGTAATTGGAGGAGTCTGTCCGCATCCCACTGGGGTAGATGCGTGTCAGCTGCCAGGTGTTGTGCCGGACAAACTCATTCCCTAGGGATGGAGCGTGTGGTCATCCTTTGGTCTGCACAGCCACATGCATTGCCTGCCCAACCACCCATCTCCCTACCAGCCATCCTTCAACCCTTCCCTCCACACACCTATTCTCCCCTCTCTCCTCTCCAAGTAGCCCAGGTCTCCTGCCTCACTTTCTAACCCAACAAAACCCAACTTCCCTGCCAGCCCCAAGTACCCCACTCATGGCCAATTTTCTCGAAACCAGAAGGAAGCCCCATGTCTGAAGGCTCTTGCCCTACACCCAGAAGACACCTGCCCTCCACCCTAGCCCGCTCCTCACACGCTGCTGCCCCTTCCACCTCACCTGCATCCCGGATGAGCTTCCTGGCCTTTGCCTCAGAGAGCGAGGAGATTTCGGAAGGCCGGGAGTGGTTGCGGGCCTCCTGGAAACCCCGGAAGGACACATTCTTGCAGTAGACAACGCAGTCAGACAACGCCTGTGCCAGGCTCTCCCTGTCCTTCTGTAAAGCAGAGCTGTGTCAGCACCACCAGCTCTGCAGCATGGACCAGGCAGGGAAGCCCACAGGGTGCCGAGTCCCCATCCCAGGCCACCCACCTTCATCCTCCGCTTCTCCTCCTCTGCCTCTGCCCCATTGTCATCATCAGACACATCGGGTGCCTCATCCCCTGGCCCATCCAGTGTGTCCTCCAGCCGACCGATCTTCTTCCCCTTCAGCAGGATCTTGTGCTTCAGCTCCTGTGGGGTCAGGGATACAGAGGTGTGGACCCTGGGGTGCTGGGCTCCCCTCTCCTCCTTATGACACTGCGCTGTCCCTGCTGCCAGGAGGAAGATGGTGGGAGACAGCAGAGCCACCTCCTCACCCTGCTCTGCCCCTTACCTCCGGGGATGGGAGCTGGGTGGGGACGCGCCCATCAGTGGTGGCAGTGAGGAGCTGCTCCCCCAGAATGTCCTTCAGCTGTTGGGCCAGCACCTCCTGCTGCTCCAAGCTGCAGTGGTTCTCCAGGGACAGGATCACTGGGAATTCGGAAGCCTGGGGAGCAATGAGTGCTTCTGTCCCCCCTGACGCTGGGGTGAGAAGAAGTGTGGGGGGACAGGGCAACAGCAGCAACCTCTGTGGGGCTGCGAGGGACAGCACAGCTCAGCTGCATGGCTACAGCACAGCTTTGGTGAAGTGGGCACAGCTGCCAGCTCTCAGATGCATGCTCAATACCATAAAGGAGCTCACCATGTCCTTGGATCCCCATGAGACCGTCACTCACCCCCCTCCACCACCTCAATGCCCCTAGGACCCCCCATTACTTCCTCTCACCCCTGCACTCCATCAGATCAGCTCCCAGATCCTGTATAACACAGCACAAGGCTGCAGATCAGTCCCTCAGTGATGTCCCCAGGGCATGGACACAGCCACCATCCTCACCACCACTGCCCCATCACTGCCCCTCACCCCAACTGCACTGAGGGCCACCCAGTGCCCTACCTGGAAGGCGTACTTCCCCAAGGTGCTCACCACCTCCCTGAAGGGGATCTTGGAGGTGAAGGTGTGGCCGTGGTACACTATGGGCTCCCCGTTCGGCCCGTCCCAGCAATCCACCTCCAGGCAGCGGCAGCCCCGTTTCAGAGCCCTATGGGTGGGCAGTCATCCCAGTACCCCAGCCAGGGCACCATCCCCCAGCCCTCCCTCTGGCTGTGGTATCACCCCTGCGGGATCAGGGGATATGCGCCAGGGTGAGGACATCCATCTAGGGATGGATGGAGGGAGGGAAAAATGGATGGATTCAGGAAAGGAAAAATTGGGCTTAGCATCTCCAAAAGGGACCCTCCTCCCGGGCACGGCCATGCCACTGGTGGTGCTGGGGGCGAGTGGGAGGGAGCAGCCCATTACCTGATGTAGCCTTCGATGCTGCTCTGACCCCGGATCTGGTCCTCTATCAGGTAGGTGTTGTGAGAGGAGGAGATGAAGTAGTGGCAGAGAGGCTGGGTCATGTCCTGCCACAGAGCCCGGTGCTGAGGATTGAAGATGGAGCCCTCCGGGGAGCAGAGGTACATGAGGAACCCATCAGCACTCAGCGCGTGGCGAGCCCTAGCTGTGAGCAGACCAGGAGACTCAACCAAAGTCAGGGACGAGGGGGATGGAGTAGGAGCAAATAAGACTGCTAGTAGTTCCTGGCATCCTGGGCTAGGCTGGAGCATTAAGAATAATGGAGGTAGCCCTGGGGAGGTGGGCCCCAAAGCCAAAGCTCACACCCCATGGCTGGCCAAACTGTTTCAGAAGAATGGACCAAACAAAGGGAGAATTGCAGCCAGACCACACCAGGGCAGCAGTGAGCCCTTTGCCTATGCCCAGTCCTCTCTCCAGTGCAGAGCACAGCTATTTTTCAGGCTCTCACCTGTCTCCGAGGGCTCATATTTGTCAATGAGCTCCATAGCGAGCTCCTCCGTGCCCTCCTCCTCCAGCTGCTCCTGCCGCAGGAAATCCACCAGCTCCAGAAGCGTCAGCTTCTTCCCGTCCTCAGAGAACTCCTGGAATAGGCTCTGCACCTCCTTGCGCTCCGTGAGGGCTTTGTAGAAGAGCACAAACTCTTCCCCTTCCAGCGTCCCTGACTCTGACTTGTCGGCAGCCTGCAAGGAAGCTCACTCAGCATCAACAGCGTGGGGTGCCCAGCCCACGATGGGTCACCACTGCCAGTGGAAGGCACAAGGAAGGGAGGAAGGAAGGGAAGCGTTGTGCAGCCAGCTCCAGCCCATCCTGCCTTAAGGTGTGGTGCTTACCTGGAAGAGTCGCAGGGCATGGTCCTCGTTCATGTCTACGTTCATCATCTTGAGGAGACGCTGCACCTCCTTGAAGTTCATGCGCCCGTCCTTATTCTTGTCAGCTTTCTGGAACCAGTCACGAATCCATGTGCAAGAAGCCGGGACAGATGTTAAGGGAAAGGGCCTTGGGTAAGAGAGCTGGAGTGGGGGAGCGTCAGATCTTTTCCTTTTGGTACAGGCTCCCCTTCCCTCATGCAGACAGTGATACCCGTAAAATTACACGCTAGGACAAGGCTGGAGATGCAGGGCTTGGGGGAGACGGGGGTGGGGGGAGGACAGAATGTGAAGGGCGGTGCAGCACCCATGGGAAGGATATTGGTCTATTCTCTCCCTCTGGTCCATGCTGGTGGCTACTTCAATGAGCTGGCGCAGGCCCTGGACCCAGCACTGCGCCTCTTCCTCTGTGCCAGCAATGAGGTCAAGATTGCCCCGACGCCCGTAGAAAACAATGGTGAAGCAGCGTTCAGGGGGGAACTCCTCAGCCAGGCTCTGCAACACCTCTGACTGGTGCCCTTCCCGCACTGTCTCCACATCGCTGATGGAGACTGGGGCAGAGGGAGGGGAGGTCTGTCTGTGGGGGACAAGGACCGCAGGGCAGGGGGCACTGCCCACAGGCATCTGTCCTTCCAAACATCTCTTCTGCTCACCCATCCAACCGTCCACACACCCACTCATAGACTTATCCATCCATCCATCCATCCATCCATCCATCCATCCATCCATCCATCCATCCATCCACCCACTCACCCACCTACTTGTGCAGCTACTCATCTATGTATCCATGCATCCATCCGTCCACCCATCCATCCATGGAGCTATTCATCCATCCATCCATTCACTCCTCCACCCATCCCCACATTCCCCCACTGAACTACCCACCCACCACTCATCCAGAGAGATGTGGATGAGAAGAGCCTGACACAAACAGAGCCTCTCCTGAATCTCAGTACTCTCTGCAAGCACAGTTTCAGGAATCTTCATACTTTCACCCTGCTGTTCATTCTGAATCCTACTAACGACCTGCACGGACAACACACCACAGCTGTACTCACAAGCAGACTCAATTTTGCCTGTCCTCTTGGACTGGTACCAGATGGTCATGCAGTCATCCTGCAGCTTGAAGTACCTCTGCTTCTTCCAACTCTTGGATTTGACTTTACGCATCAGTGTCCCTTGCTGCATCTTCTCCAGTGTTTCTGTGAGCTGGATGCCTGGGGGCAGAGCGGGCTGCATGGCCAGAGGGACCTCACTCCCTCCAGCCTCTGGGACCTAGGATGAAGGAGGAATGGACTCCACCCAGCGCCCTGCCGCACGCACCCCTCTGCTGGGACACTCACGGGCGTTGCACAGCAGCGATGCCATGACTCTGCCTCCTCCGTGTTGGCACTGCTGGGGAGGGAAGAGAGGACTGTGCAGCAGGCCTACCCACTGCTGGGGTGTCTGTCCCCAGCACCCGCGGGTGATGTATGCGTGTGCCCTAGTGTGAGCACACCTGCCTGTACCTCCTGCTGGCTCACCCTCTTGTTAAGTGTCAAGTTCGTCCCGTTGTTCTTATGAAATATTAATTGTTTTACCGGGAAGACAGAGCTTGAAAGGTGTGGGGGGGAAATGGAAAAACTTGTGAGAGCAGCCTCAGAGCTGGGAGGGGATCTGAGCTCTCCCTCACCCTGGGAGCTGGCAAAACAGGGAGCCCGGGAGAGCCCCAGAGCTGGGGGACAGCCTTGCACCATGTTTGGAGGTAGCAGTGAGGAGCCTGGGTCGGTGACCCATGGTACCTCAGCACTGCAGGGCCCTGGGGATGGGAGCAGAACATCAGCACTGCTGGAGCGAGCAGGGACACACGGGACTATAAATGCAACCGAATTGACAATAAGTCCTTGATGAGGCTGTTAAGACTTTAATTAGACCAGAGATAAATTGCTGGATGTGCTCATTGCCGGATGCTTGAGCAGTCCTCAAGGACCAGATAGCACAGCTGGTAGGCAGGGATGTGGGTGCAGGGGAAGCCCTGTCACAGGCTGGGGTCCCACTCAGGGCGAGGGGCACAGAGTGCTGGCTGTACCCCAGGCCCCTGACTCAGCACAGCACCAGCACTTTGGGGCTGGGAATAGCGGGTGCCGTCAGCGCGCAGGCAGCTGCCAAGCTCAGCTGCCAGACCTGTGCGAGCGCAGGGTCTGGATGGGGCCAGGCTTGCTTCTGGGAAGCCGGGGTGGAGGGGAGGCGTCAAGGCTGAGGAGACACCGGGACAGGAAGCGGCTTGGTGCCACCAACAGGGCTGAGCTCAGCACTGGGTCACACAGGTAACGGGGGCAGCGTGCAGGGGGCTGCTTGTTGGCTGCTGGCCCAGTAGTAGAGTTGAGGTTTTGGAACTAAATGAATATCTCACATTGTGAGCCCCTACTTTGTGCCAGAGAGATGCATAGGGAGGCACGGCCCAAAGGTGTGCAGCCCATCCCCAACCAGGGCAGCAGGGGCTGCCTCACACGCAGTACAGCAAACCTTTCCCACCGCAGATGAGACCCTGCGATTGCACAGCAGGACCGCGGCTGTCCATCCTCCCCAGCACACCCGGTGCCCTCGAGGACCCCTCGCCGTGCAGAGCTCGGCTTCGACTCCTGCTCCTCTGTCGAGGAGAGAGGGAAAGGAGCCAGGGGCTGGAGCCAGAGCTCTCCGACTGGAAACCCGACCCGAGAGCTTCCCGCAGGGCTGCTGCCTCCTGCCAGGGCCGCTTCTCCCCTCCCGGCCAGCGGCTTGGGGCGGCGGGCGGCCGCGCTCCAGCGTCCAGAGGTGACAGTTTCCGCGCATGGCGGGGGGACAGCGGCGTGAGCACCCCAGCTGTCACCCGGGAGAATTAAATGCCGCCCAAGGGACGGGAACAGCACCGCACCGGAGGTGCAGGGCTCAGGACTTGGGGGTACACCTAATCCCCAGCAGAAGAACAAGGCGGCACTCCCCCAGCCCGCAGCTCACCCGCCCCGCAGCCCCTATTGCCCCCCGTTCCGAGGACGGCCCAGCCCCGTACCAGCTCTCCGGTGCCGCTCCGCTCCGCGCCGTACCACCGGTGCTCCTCCGACTGCGGCCGCACGGAGCCGGGGCTGTCCGGGCTGCCCGCCCCTTGGCAGTGGCGGAGCGCCGAGCCCGCCCCCTCGGCCCCCGCACTCCCCGCGCCCCGCACAGCCCCGGCCCCGCAGCCGCGCTCCCTCAAGGTCGGCACGGATTAAGGTCACGCCGCCGCGTTCGCCGCTCCGGGGGGTGGGGAGGCTGCGGGGCCCTGGACGGGGGTCCTGCTAGCCCGTCCCTCCCCAGCCTCTGCCTGGGTCGGGGGGGCACAGGGAGACCCAGCACACCCTCACCTAAAGGCACCCCAAGCCCTTGGATTGGCCCCAGAGTAGCAGCAAAACGGGCAGGGCACGGGACCCTGCGATCCCAGCACAACCGTACCTTGCACGGCGGGCAGATTTTAGTGCAAGGGCTGCAGTGCTAGGAGCAAACCTCGTGGCAATGCCTGGCTGCATGGGAAGAATGGATCCGCATGGCAGCACAGCATAGAGCTGCCACTCCTGGGTGCAGCAGGGCCAGCACAGCCCTACCCCGACACACAGGGACATTGCCCTCAGCCTAGCTTGGGCCACCAGCTTTGCGCATCTCCTCCCCTGCCCAGCCCAGCAGTAGAGGCTCTAACACCATAACAAGGGTGACACTGTGTGCCAGGGAGCGGCTGCAAACGCACTCTGTAAAGTAGGACCCAGCAGCAGCCCTTGCCCCACACCCAGGCTTCAGCATCCCAACCACATTACCTTCTTGCAGAGATAGTGAGACTTCCAGCAGCTTGGTGACAGCCAGCTGCCCCCCAGAGAAGGCAACGAGCACCCAGAGAAGGGCAGTGAGGAGCTGGCACAGCCCTCCTTTCTCTCGCCCACAACAACCCCCATGCCCCGCTGCCCTCCCAAGAGACCAGGCCAGGAGCAACCTGTGCTGACTGGGGTTTTATTATTTATTAACCCAAACTTACAAAAACAGAAGCGTTTTCACACCCCGTCAAGGTCAGGGTTAGGGAGAAGGGAAAAAAAAGGCGGCAACGGTTATAAAATGGGACCCAAGGGCAAGGAAGAGGCCAGGCTCTGCCCTCGTTATGCAAAGGCTGAAATGGGAAGAGGGAGGGGAAACCAGATGGGATTTAAGACACTGTTGGCATAACACTGCAGATTACCAGCAAAATGGGCTGCTGGAGGGGGATGAGCAGCTTGCCTGCAGCCAAGTGCCAGCAAAGCTGGCTGCTGCAGCACAGCCCCAGAACTCCCCAGCTGCCACCCAGAGCCCGCCCTGCCAGGGCCACACCACCCCTCCAGGCAGGGAAGACAGGTAAGTGGCTGCAAGTCCAGACAGTTTAATTGCAGTGGGGCTGAGACAGACGCCAAGGCAGGTTTGAAAGCTGAAATGGATGCACTCGGATGGCTAAGCTGAGCTGGGAGGCACGTGATCAGGACTGAGGTGCTCGGCAGGCAGCGGGGGACAGGGGAGCTGGTGTACCTGGAGCCTGCAGGATGCAGCTCCCTGCTGTCCTGCAGTAGGGGACTGGCAGTGGTGGCTCTGCTAGATCAGTGGCCAGCATGCAGCAGCCCTCAGCTGCTGGCTAGTTCTGCGTCAGTAGCCGCAGGAGCACTGCACTATTTACAGCACAGGAACCACAGGCTTGCTGTCTTCTGCCTCCAGAACCCTGGGAACCAAGCTGATGACACACAGGTTCATTGCAAGTAATCTACCCCTCCCCGTGGGCAAGCACTGCAGTGCCCAACTCCAGCTGCTGCCTTTGTGCCAAAGGAAAGGAAAAGAGAAGCCTGCTGTGCTAGCCGGATGGATGAACAGCAAGGATGTGCCTGCAAGGAAGAAAGCTGTCCCTAGGCTACCTGCAGCTGAGCAGCAGTCTGTACAGGGGATAAAACAACAAGATCAGCTTTAACTCAACTCACTCATCTAAGCAGACGTGTAAACAAGACGTGACAAGGAACTGGAGGGTTGTGGCACACACCCATTGTCACACACTATTTGCGTGAAGTCTGAGCTAGCTGGACAAGTGGATGTCTGTGCTATCCCCTGCCTGTTGATGCAGGGACAGACGCCAGCCAAGCCTCCTGGAGAGATAGGGATCTTTACAGATTATTTTTATTGATTCTTTTTAAGCTGTGGTATCAGAATCTGCTGGTGTTGTGATCCCCAGAGGCATGCTGCATTGCTACAGAGCAGCCTTTGGCTGGGTGGAATGGTCCGACAAGCTGGCAGACTGAAAGTCAGCTGGCACGCTCAGTTTGTTATAGAAGAGGTCATCCGTTCCTAGTTCTTTGTAAACCTGAGCTGCTTCTTCCCAGATCTCCCACCCCCCCCCAGCAGTCACTGCGGAGGAAGCGGGATGCCCCGTGGGTCAGTGACCTGACCCTCCTGCAGGTTCTTGACGAGCTGAGCCAGCCAGCGCTTTGTGGTGGTGTCATCCTTCAGGACCTGGGCAAAGGTGGTGTCCTTCAGTTGGTCAGGAAGGCACTGTCTGAGAGCTTCACGTGCCCTACATCAAAAGACAAGAAACAGGGCCCAACAAATAAACTCACAGGGGCAAGAGGGGAGCAAACTCCACTGGGAACACAACGCCAGGCCAGCCAAGGAAGTCACTGAGCACTCTGCTGACCAGCATGGCTCCCGTCCCTCAAGATCCCACCGAGCATACCCCTGTGCCTGTCCTGATGCCCGTCAGCCAATAGCACAAAGCCAGACGAGGCAGACAACAAATACTCACTCAGCAGCTTTGGGTAGAGCTGCTGGTCAGCTGAGGAAATTATAAACTGCTTTCATGCTGAATTTCATCGATTTACTGCTAACAGCTCACATGATGCAGAAGAGGGAGAGCACAGCACACCTTCCAGCTCAGTCCTCCCCTCATACCCAATCCAAGCAACGTTTGAACTCAGGCAACTGTAACCTGCTTGAATCAGACCAAGCTCCAAAGAGGCTGTTTCTATCACCATACAAGCTCCTGGAGCTAGCAAAATAAACAAACAAAAAAAAAACCAAAAAACCCACAGTATTTTCCATAATGAGCTGTTTAAGGACAAACAAGCAACCTCGACTCCAGATGGGCACTGGCAAGAAGAGCTGTGCTCCCAAGCAGACGGGAGAAGCCCCGGCCCAAACTCCTTAAATGTTTACCTGGGGTTATCAGAAAGGCGAAGGTAACAGCGGACAACGTGCTTGAGCAGCCGTGCTGATGGCTCCTTGGAGAGCTGCAGGACCATTTTACCCTGTATGACAAAGGCCAGTGCCAGCAGTTAGTGTTTGTCTGAACAGTTTCATGATTAGGAAAGACCATTAAATCACCCTGGCCTCCCACCCAGCGGAGCCCACTGCCTTTCAGCTGGACAGCCCTGCATGCAGCCCAGCCCCTTGCCTTGACAGCGTGCATCTCTTTCTCACACTGTGTAGGACTTTGCACGTGGTTGCAGCCTTGAACACACCCAGCCTAGTGAACACTACAGATGCCTTCACACACCTGCCCTGAGTCATGATTAGGAGTCAAATCAGATCTGCCCAGCAAGTTTTTTCCCCATGAAACCACACCAAGTAGCACTAACCGTTTTCCCCATTAGCTAAATTCACCTGTGTTTGGATTTTTAGTCAGTTAGCAATTAGTGGGGGCTGCCTCATCTGCCCTTTTGGAAGCTTCCTGTTCTTAGCTATCCCCTGGATACCAAGATTTCTTCAAAATAACGAACAAATGGTCAGAGAGCTCCTCACACAGCTCCTGAACAGGAATTATTAATTTGCCCTCTTAAAAGCTTCTAATACTTGCAGAGCATCTTACACATTTATCAGCAGACTAGGAAGCAACCCAGCACCCTCAGGAGACAGGAGTACATTAGCCCTATTTTTGAAATACAGAACAAATGTCTCATGAACATTTTTATCATGTCACTGTTTCAATCTATTGTGGGAATACACCACAAACAGCATTTCTTCCATGCTAACGTATCTGCACACATCCACGTCCTTCTGTGTTCATACCCTTCCCAGACATAAATTCTTCCTTGGTCTCCTTCCCCCCTCCCACTCCCCCCCCTCCAGGGCTTCTGTTTCTAATTGCTTGCCTGAATGTACTTTCAGCTAAAGCTGATCCCTTCCACAACTGCAGAAGTTGTATCACATGAGATATTTTGGACAGCTCAGAAGCATTCATATTTTGTTGTTCACGTGTGAGTTAGAAGTTAGTTTGGGAAAACAGATGTACTAATAAATATTCCCAATGAAAGCATCAAAATTTAGGCACAGAACCAGAACTACAAAGTGCTTAACTTAATGCTGCATTTTCATCTCTTGAGATTGGCTCTGTAAAAAGCAAACACTCACAAAATTGGGGTAATAGCTGTTCCAGAGCAGACACATATTTCAATTTTAGCAAGCTGAAGGAAATAATCCACTGGGGCTATTACTTTTGGGATGAACAAAATATGGATACCTAAAGCTCTCCTTTACAGGGGACAGAGGAATGGACAAAATGTCTGCTCTCTGTGCATTCTAACACAAGATTTAGAATCATATGAAAAAATTAGTAGGAACTGGGTTCAAAACAAACAAACTGGGGTTGGCCTTCCAGGCAGCAAACAGGAAACCTGTGCAACTCCTTGGTAAAGGACACTGTATGTGCAGTTCAAGGGGAGGACTGGACAAACACTGGGGGTTACTGCATAGAAAATCCACAGTTGGTCCTGGAAATCCAAAACCAAAAAATAGCTGGCAGCTGGGAGGCTGTTAGAAGGGCAAGTATCATACATGCTTGCTCTGCTCTTACTCCTTTGTTCAACCTCTTATATTCTTCTAACCTGCTGTGGGAGACAAACAGGGAAAGCAGATCCACAATCTGAACCTGTGTCACCACCTTTACATAAAATTAGACCAATTCACACCCTTCTTATTCCCTGGAGATGTTTACCCGATTTACCTTAAGGACTTCATAAATTACAACTATCTGTTCTCTTAACAGGCAAACCAGAGCTATATAAAGGAAACAAGCAGAACCAGAGAGCTGCAGAGCTACAAGCAATTTATCCAAGAACTGCTTGCCCATCTCACCCTGTGCTCCAGCCAGAGAGCAGTACAATAGCTGCCAAAGAAGTTAACTGCTGGAGCATATATATAACTACTTGTTTTGCTAAAGCAGAAGGAACAATCTTACCAGTATCATGGCAACATGGGAAAACCGCTCATACGTTTGACAGATGTATGCCAGCCCTGTGTCATCCAGAAGGATTTTCTGAAGAATAAATGTAGCAACCTAGAATAGGAAGAAAGCAGAAAAGAGAACATATAAAACAACTCATCTATCCCAAGAAAGAACAGTCTTTGTGCTGCGTTCTTTTCATGGCAGTCCCAGGGCTGAAAGGCCTTTCAGAAAATGCTGTTCTTGATTTAAAAAGTTTAAAGCCAAAACGAAATGCAGGACACTGCGCAATGACTGGCATCTTTGGCTAAGGAAGAAAGACAGATACAAAGCACTGCATACCAGACGACTGGATGCAGGCTGCATGAAGTAGCAACTACAACCAGGCTGCTCAGGACAGCCTCGTATGGCTCGTTGTGGCCACACTGCTCTGGTCACACACACTAGCCCTTGGCCCTGCTGTGTACACAGCAAGCTGGTTTCAGTTTCCATCTCAAGTATTACTGAAGCATGACCAGACACGTGACTGCCTGGAAGAGCCCTGGTCAGGTATGTCATCAGGCTTCATGAGAGAAGGACACAGACTGAAACCTGTGGCTGGCCTACCTGGGTCATCCATCCACAGATCTGAACTCATAGTGGAAAGCAGCCCTGATCAAATGGGGTAACCAACTGGTCCAGTGTGGTGAACATCCCTATAATCATCACCACCAACAGCTGCTGCTCAACCTGAGCACTGAGCAGTTACAGCATTTGTTCTCTCAGGCAGAAGGAAAATTGATCCAGCTCAGGACTGAAGGTTACTCTGCTGAACTACAAAGCAGACTGGGAGCTGAGAGCGGGCAAGATCTTTCCTAGCAGAACTGCCACGCTCAAGGAACACTCAGCTCGGTTTGTATTTTGAGGAGGTAAAACACCACCAAAAGTTGCCTCACCATTTGCAACAGGATATCAATCAACTCTGCAGGTTTCAGACTGCCTGGTCAGCTGGACATAAACAACAGAAACTCTTAAGAAAAACAACAGGTACCGTCTTGGAAAGTTCACTGCCAGACTCCATAATGCGTAAGCACAGGGGGATAATTTCTGTTGTCAATAAGAAGTTTATTACTTCTTGCTCATCAGTTTTCACCAAGGCTCCTTGAAAGAAAAACAAAAAGCAAATTTAATAAGTGATAAATTGTTTAAAAAAACAAAAAACAACAAAAACCCCTTGCTTATCATAGATGGCCTGTACTGTCCTGCCAGGAATCATTACATCTGAATGACTGACAGAGCAACTCCCATCCTAAATATGCTGCAGCATGTGGCTGGAGAAGATATCATTTTGGCAGCATAAAAGTAATCGAGCTGGTTTTGGAGGCTGGTTGTTTTTCAGAAAGGGGATATGTTCTTGGCTCTCCCCCTGGTGGTAACACAACCTCCAGTGACTCACAGCCACTCAACAGAAGCCTCTCAGAAGAAGAAACCTATCTCAAGACGCTCTTTGTGCATTGAGAGAGAAACACTCTGGACAGAAAAAGGGGAAAAAAAGTGGAAGATGGGGTAAATATACCCAAGACAATGACAAAAAGCCAAAGAAAGCTCAACGTGCACCCTCCCATCCCAGTCTCTAGTTAGCTGTGCTAAGGATGAAGGCACATCGAAATTGCAGATACTTGTTCTAACAGCAAGGAGGTTTCTGGCAACAGACCTAGACTTCAAGGTTTTCTTTTAACTGGAAAAATCTCACTTCCTATCCCAGACCTGACTTAAGTTGTGCAGGTTTCTATATCCACAGCTTTAACAGCCACTTCACTAGGAAACCAGTGCTCTGCATTAGTCTTATTGCTTACCGATCACCCCGAGGCTTGTGAGCCGCAGGTACTCAAATGGACGTGTCTTGCTAACTGTGTGCAAGAAGGGGTACAGGAAGAGAGGGATGTGAGCTGCCAAAAACGCTGATCTGCAGGACAGGGAGAACACCCACAAGAGACAAGGAAAACAAAGTGAGCGCACAAACCAGAACGATCATGCACAGCTTCACACTACTCCTGACAGACAACACTGCTGCTGCTGCTCCTCAGAACTGGGTAGCAGTTCATGCTCTGATGGTAAGGTGTGACATTCATTCTGCACTGGGCCATGTTTGTGCATTAACTACTGATTCGGGCTGAACTAACACCATCTTTTTCCTTGCTGACATGTGCAAAACAGGCTGAGAAAACCTGGAAGTCAGGCAGTGGCTGGAGGCTGCAGGTGTGGCTTTGCTTTTGCTCCTTGGCCACAGTCTCTGGGAAAGGCAGCCCAGCTCATTCCATTCTTTGGGCAGTTAGTCTAAATAACTGTAAGCTCATTAAAACAAGGATCCTGCATGTAGCACTCAGCACAAAGGCAGCCTTGTCTCTGGGTGAGCTCCTAGGATCTGTCACAACCCAATATTTTGGGAATTTGCAGGATGCTGGGATGATTCAAGGAATGCAAAGCATTCAGGACCACAATAAAGCTGTCATCCTGGTAATTCAGGCAAACAAGTAAAAGCAGCAGTCAGTTGCCTATCTTCCAGCTCTGTCTATTTTTCCACTTCTCTTGGTAAAAGAGCAAAAAGGAATTTACACACTTCCAGAATCAAACAAAATGGCAGAGCTGTCAACATCAGCAGTCCAGAAAACTTTCATACTTGGAAACACGCACCTTGTTTCAGGATGAGATGCAACACACTGTAACAGAGCTAAAGCATTGCACACTCTGTTGGACTGATGGGCAGTCAAGGTTGGAGGATTGATTGATGGATAAATATTTACAATTTCCTAAAAAAGTAATAAGTGAAGAAAAGTTAAAGGAGAAAAAAAAAAAAATCTGCAAGCTGCACAAATGCATTTGCCCAGCAAGGGACTGTGGTGCCATGAGATTTTAGTCTGCTTTCACTAAGCACCACTCTCAAGTTACATGGCAGTTACATGCTGCAAAGCAAATGGCAGAGTTATGCCAGAATGAGTTTGACAAGGGGTCACACAGATACAGTCAAACTTTAATTTTAGCTCCTCCCTCAAAAAAGGGCTCATTTGATTTCCTGGCACTTTGTGGATGTGGGGATTACTTTGTTTTGAATTTCCAGAGCAAGGAGGAATGCTGTTCCTGTGCCTAAAGGCAGAGCACACCCATTTCCTTCATACCATTGCTGCTGGTACTCTTCTAACTCAATGAAGGGGAAGCAGCTGAAAGTGAGAAGTCCAATTCAGAAAACTGTCTGCTTCCAGCTATGGCTCCTTTATGATTTTCTTCGCTTGTTTCAGTGCCATCCTGTTTTCACAGTCTGGCATCACCTATCCTACACAATTTTCTTTCCTTCCTCAAATGAAATGACTAGATTCAGCAGAGATGGGCAGACATCAGCTGTGGTTTACCTGGAGCTCAGCTGAGCCACTCTGTTTGATCAAAAATGCAGGTAGTTTTCTTTGCAAGGTACTCTGGAGCAGTGAGCTCCAAGCGCTCCCGTGCTGCCCCAATGAGGGCTCTCTGTAATGGCAACCTTTAGATCAAGTAGAATCATAGAATCTCTCAGGTTGGAAAAGACCTTAAAGACCATCGAGTCCAACCATGACCTAACCATCCCACCCTAACTAACAACCCTCTGCTAAATCATGACCCTGAGCAGGTAGTACTCAAACTTATGGGAAAATAAAGAAAAAAACTCCACAACACAAAACGGAGATCTTAGGAGTAAAACTGCTGTGGATCTGAACGTCATCTACAGGAAGTTCATACACAGAAGAACTTGCCTGCTCCTCTTTCAGCTATATAAGCTATCTCATCAACAATCTTAGGGCCTAGTCTCTAAGAACATCACCTTGCAAGTGGTGACTAATGGAAGACATTAGAAATGCCATCCTCATGTGGTTCCCCTCACCACACGATCCAGCAGCCATCATACACACAGAAATGGCATGAAGGGACATATCAGCGCCTCCCCAGATCCACCCCATGGACACACAGAGCTCTGCCACGTAGCGGTGCTGTGCCACGGAACAAAGCTGAGCTCTGCCCTACCCACCTGAAGGAGTGCTGCAATCGTGCCAAAAGAGTGCCACAGCATGGGGGCAAGGTCAGGCACAGACTCGCGCTTCTTGCTCAGCTCCAGCAGTGCATTCTCCCTCGTCTCAGGGCTGGACAGCTCGTTGATCCACTGGTAGATCTTCTCACGGTCCACCTGAGCCAGCGCTGTAGGCACAGGCTGGGAAGGAGACAAGAAAACTTCGGTCACGAAGCCAAACGCTTCTCACAGCCTCACAGGCAAAGCAAAAAAAGGGCTCGAGGAAGTGGCTGGGGAGGGAGGGACTACAGCTGCATTAAGAAGCAGTGGATATGGATGATCGCTTAGATCAAGCTTACTACTTCGCCTATCTGAAACACAGATGTTTCACTTTCTGGCCTGACTCATTAGGGCAGTCTCCCTTGATTGGCCTGCCAACCATTTCCTTACAACTTCATTTGGTGACATGAGAGCCGTGCTTCTGCCCATCTGTGTCAGCAGAGCTCCTGGGGAGGCCACACATACTTTAGCCACCTATCACCCACTCTGCCTGCATTGATTTCATGCTTCAGATGCAAGCTCCCACAAATCCCACCCAAGTAATGCAGATGCTGCCTTTTTCTCTCCAGGAACAACCAGGATACTCAATGAATCCCATTGACAGGCTTCAACAAACATGAGAAAAGTGTTCATACAAATAACAGAAAAATTCTCACTACACCAACATCAATACAACGCTGTGGGGCAGACAAAAAACACAGCCAGTAACACTGGTGTTACAGACTCCTCCAATTCATCCCTGGTATCTCCTTTAGCTGCACGGAGTTAAAAGGAAATGTTTCAAGACTGTTTTTGTGCAGAAGTTCCTATTCAAAAACAAACAACCCTGAGAAGGGCAGATGTGCATTCATTGTTAAGACACTTTCTACTACTTGGGAGAAACACACAATTTCTCTTCTGCCTTTCTTGAAACATCATGGGAAAAAAACATCAAGGCCAACAAGTTTTCTGGGCAAAAAACAAAATTAGGGAGGGCTGAGAAGAAAGGGATAGCAAACAAGTGACACGTTAGCAGTTTCTGTGGAAATGGTAAAGAAAAACCTCGCAATGAAAGCCTGTCTCATGCCACTGCTGGCATATCAAGCACTCAGGTTGCAAGCAGGCCTCCTACATGGATAGTGTGGTGATTCAGACCAACAATTTGAAGGCAAACTTATGCATTAAAGTGAGTGCTTCATGCACTGCACTGCCAGCAGTAGTGCTAGCAGCAGCTCCTTACTGAACACAAAAGAGTTGGGGAACTGACAGCAACTGGATCCAAAATGAAGTTCCCAGAGCTGCTGGAAGGAGACCATGCCTTAGGGACATACCCCCATAGCCTTCCCTCTTTATTGCTACAGCAGTTTCCTTGCTCAGCTATCCACACATTATATTCATAATCATGTCCTAAAAAACCCTGTGGGATTGACAGTGGATTGAAGTTGTAATTTGTAATCTCTTCCTCTATGTAATTTAGGCTACAATATAATCTGATGTGCTGTGTTACCAATCTCCACATCTCAGGCCTCTAATACCTTGTACCTGCTCATCTTTCCTGCTGTGCCCTTTTTCTCCTCTTGTCTACCCTATATTATTTCATTTTTTCCCCCAGAACTTCATACTGAAATGATAACCTAACAATTTTATGTACAAGGAACACAGTTCCAGTGGTAACTCCAATACCAGAGCTGGAAGAGAGAAGGTGAACAGACTGAGCTCATTTGTTTTCATTTGGGATGGCAGAGTGACAAGCAGTGCAGCAGTAATGTTGTTATAATTGTGTTATCTAAAGCTTCCATCTATTTTTCTAGACTCGTTGTTTCAGTTCCTGTAAGCTTAAATATATCGACCCTTTAAAAGCACAATCATGTGTCTATGATCCCTAGAGAGCACTAAGCAGATTTTCCAGACAATTAAGTTTATGATGCCCAGTATCAGTCTTACTGAGAACCAGTTGCTGGTCACAGGCTCTACAGTTGCTCAGTAAACATTCTAGCTGAAATCGAAAGCCACATTTTGTCTTCATTTCCTGTTTCATTGTTGCTTCCCCTCTTCCCAGACCTAAAACTGTGGGGAACCCCAAGGGCTACACACAACCTCTGCACTCTCTGAGGCAGCACCCTACCAGGCAGGCCTTCATCTGCACACAGGGAAAGCAGGAGCTCCCAGCAGTGTCTCACACCACAGGACTGTGCCACCTCCACACCACTGACAAGAACAGGGTGCTACCTCAGACATCCCTGCTGATCACATCCCCAGCAACAGCTGAATGACCTGGAGAAAGGCAATTGGCTTTCTCCCCCATGTGAGCAGCAGCTGCCAGGCATGCTGAAGAAAACAGCCAACCCCCAATACAGAATGCTACCCAATCAGATACAGGTGCTTTTAAAGAAATTTTGGTTGATCAGCAACTCAAAGAACACCAACACAAACTTTGAACTTAACTATCAGTGAATTCACTAGTTCAATCTGGACTTCCCATGCCTTACTGCTACCTACAGCTACAGTAAAGCTGTATTTTTTTTTCTTAGCTTATTCTCCAGTCTTCAGTGTCTAACGCTGTCGTCAGACCTAAAGGCAAAGTGCCAGCTCTGCCACCAGCACTGCAGGGACAACAGCGATGCTCCTGCTTACAGCAGCTTCATCATGAGACGCTCACAAAGCCTCCAGGAGCTCCTCAGCCCACTCACTGTTCCACTCAGAGCAGCACTATTCACCTTTGTTAATACAACTGCCAAGGACTTCTGCAGAGTGGAATGCTCCTCCTTCTCACATTCAGCCTACAGCGCATTGATCGTAGTAAGAAACGTTTCAATACAGATCCATCAGGTAGCATGGATTGTGACAAATTAAACACACACTCAGATGAGCCCCAAAGTAAAGCTGACTTCTAATCCTGACTTCGATTACGTCGTTAAAACTGCCTTCCAAAAAAATCCTCTTACAGAAGGATGGGTGGCACTCAGATTAACAGCAAACATAACAGCACCTCGTGCATTTTGACAGCTGTTTTGGAATTGGAGAACCATTTGGGTCGGAAGGGACCTTTAAAGGCCGTCTGGTCCAACCCCTGCAACGAGCAGGGACACCCACAGCTCCATCAGTGCTCAGGGCCTCTCCAGCCTGACACGAAATGCCTGCAGAGACGGTGCAGCCACCGCCTCTGTACAGCCCATGCCATCGCCCCACCACAATACACCACTCTCAAGACGTAAATGCTGATTAAAAGCGTTCAGTACGAGCTCGCGTTCCCTCCCGTGCTTCAGAAAGCAGCGTCTCAAACCTCATCAAAAGCATTTGCAGGCAGGAAGACTCGGAAGCCCGCTCAGCTCCCGCTGTGGCTATTCGCGCTCGTTACGCCGAGCAGCACCGCAGCCATCTGCCGCCTGCAGCGACCCGCTCGCCCCAAGCCTCTGCCAAACGCTTCGCCCGCAACGAGCAGCTACTCGGGGAGCCGAAAAGCCAAAGGGCACACACATCGCCCACCCAGACCGCACGCTGCCGGGCTCCCCGCGCCCCAACCTCGCCCCAGCAGCTCCGGTTCCCCGAGGGACACTCGGGCCTCCCTCCCCCTCGGCCCGCGCCCGCCCGCCCGCCCGCCGTCTCCTGAGAAGGAAACGAGGAGCTCGCCCGCCGAATGAACCCTCAGACCCCCGGTGCTGCCGGCTCACCGCGGCTGTGGCCAGGCTGTGCATGGTGCCGGTGGCTCCGGGCCGCGCTCAGAAACCCGCCGCCATAGAGGCAGCGCCGCGCGGGGCGCCGGGAAGGGAACGCGGCCTCGAGGAGGACGAGGTGCGCGTGCGCGCAAACAGCGGCGGGGAGCGGGCCGCTCTCTAACGGCGCCTGCGCGGCGGCAGGAGGGGAAGGGACGAGAGCGCCGCTTCGGAGCGTGGGCGCGTGCGCGGCGTGCCGGGAAGGGCGCAGCGGCGCAGCAGCGCTGACGTCAGCGGGGCGCGCGCGCCTGCGTGCCGTGCGTCGCGCGGGGAGCCGGTTCCCGCCATCCGCCGCCGCGCCCCTCCGCGGGCCGCAGGTACCGGGAGCGCCGCCCTTCCCTCGGAGCGGGGCCGGGTGATGGCGGCCGCGGCCTCCGGAGGGACCGCCTCGCCCCGCAGAACCGCCTCGGGCCGCCCTCCTCTCACCCCCTCCCCGGACGCGGCGTCCGGCCCCGCTCGCTTCTAGCGCTCCTCCGGGGAAGGCCGCATCTCCGTGTGGAGGTGGGCGCACACCCCGCAGCACGCGTTCTCTTTCCCGCAGGTTCCGAGGCGGTGCCGGCTGCGGTGAGGCCCCGCCATGGCCCCGCTGAAAGTGCACGGCCCCGTGCGGATGCGCAGCATGCAGACTGGCATCACCAAGTGGAAGGAGGGCAGCTTCGAGATCGTGGAGAAGGATAACAAAGTCAGCCTGGTGGTCCACTACAACGTGGGGGGCATCCCCAAGACATTCCAGGTGGGCGCTGCTGGGCCGTGTCCTTCCCGGCTATCGCGTGTCGCTACTCCTTCTGCCTCCTTCCTGAGCGCCATCCCTCGGTTGTAGCCCTGCACTCGAATTATTCAGGTGTGGTGTTATGGTATCCGCTGGATGGGAAGGGCCGAGCAGCAGGTGTAGAGCTGTGACCCACGTCTTGCTTTTTGGAATACCTTCTTGTTGCGATAGGTGGGCAGCCTGCAGGTGATGTTGAGATTTGGTTTTGCTTTGCTTTTTAAAAGAATCATTTAGCAACTTTCCAATCAGTTGGGTTTGTTGCCTCTGTGCTGCCTCTGCTTTCTGGCATCACTGCTGTTTTCTGACTGGTGTATCAGACCTTTCTCTGATCCATTTGTTTCTTCCTATGAACTTAATGAAAAAGAGAACATGTTGCGTTTGGAATACCAGGTTTTTGCTCCCTTAGCAAGCTGAGAAGTCTCAGCAAGGAACCTGAAAGCCTGTGTTGTATTGGAATCAGGGTGTAAGAGAGGCACGTGCTTTGATTGCCTCATACCATTGTAACTGTAGACTTGATAATATCAAGACCGGCCCACGTTGCTGCACACAGTGCTGTGACTGTGCTTTTGGTGGAATCCCAGTGTTTGACCACGGTGTTACAGTCCCTTATTCCCCTTATGCCTTCCCAAGGCTCCTGTTTGTGCTCTGTTCTGCCAGGATGAGTTTTTCTGTGGCACAGTAGTGCCTGGAGCTGTGGTTCTGTAGGAGGGTGAGCCTGCCCAGCATCTGTCTATGTCTGCAGGGACAGGCTTTGCTCCTGTCTCTCTTCTGGCTGTGGCACTCCTCAAGTCTGCGAGAGCTTTGTGGAGAGTTTCCACTTGGAGGGGGCCAAACAGCAAGTCTGATGGACTGGGAAGCGTGGTGCTCTGCATCTAGGGGCACAGCAAAGAGGAAATGAACAGCCCAAGCCTTAGAGCAATTAGTTTCATTAGGCCAACAGTTATTTTCCAGCTGGAGCTGCTCTCTGGTCCTGATCATCTTGAGGTAGTACAGGTGCTGGCAGCAGGGAGAGTGGGCTCCCCGTTGTGTTGTGCACCTGTGCCAGCTGGTCCCAGTCTCGGTGCCCTCATTACAGGTGTGCCAAATACTTTGTAATTCTGCTTTAAAAGTACCATTCTCTTGTTTGCTTGCTTTCTTTTTCCCCCTGGCAAGTTGCTCTGAGAAGTTGTGAGCAGTTTCCCCCACTTTTTCACTTTGCTGTAACAGAACATTCATGTGGATCCTGGGTTATATTTCTGTTGCTGTTATTTGATGTTTTGATGAGTTTGCTAGATACGAGATAGTGTGTGAAATGTGTCATTTATTTTCACCTCCTGAGGTGCTAACGCTGACTTTTTGGTAACAGGTACACAGAGACTGTGCTTGGAGACCTCTTATGTGAGCATTTTGAATAGGAATACATTGTGCTGCACTGAGATGCCAGAATATCTGTAATCCCTGTGCACTGACCTCTGTTTTAAGAGAGAATGAAAAACTTGGGACCTGTTTTCCAATATGTAGGGGAGAAAGAAACCTCATGGATGAACACTTTGTACAGGAATCAGTTTTTGTTCTAAACTTGAGTACGGTTTGTAGGGGACAAAACAACTGTATAGTGAAACTGAGGTTGCCTTACGACTGCTGTTCGTGTCTGTTAATTGGATATCATTATTTGGATCAGCTGTGTGGTGATGCACAGGTGGTGCCACTTGAGGAGGAGGCTCCAGTCTGATGGGCAGCCTCTTGCACTGCAGTGCCCAATGGCCTTGGCTGTGGTTTCAGCTTGCAATGTAGCAATGTCCAGGTAAGAACGTCATTGTGTAGCAGTGCCTGGTTTTTAGGAAAGGCTGCAGAAGTAGCAGAAAAATGAATAAGTGCAAAAGGATGCAGAAGTTGAAAAGTACTTGTGTATTGACATCTGTATGGTCGCTTCTCCACAAAACCCACACCTTGTGAGTGACTTAGCAGGAAGCAGCAGTTACTTCATGTTGTAATATAGCGGCACAGCGGAATTATTGGAGAGAAGTAACTCTTAAAATTGCTCTCATGCATGACTATAACCTCAAAACTTTTGACACTGTTTACTTGTTGCCGTGCTGTACAGAGACTAAAGGTTTCTTACTTACCACCCCGTGAAGTTTTTTTAAGCTTTGTCAAGTCTCTTTTCCTCTGAGTGAATTATAGAGTGAGCATAAGTTTATGCACCACATTTAAAACTCAAAACTTTAAACTTTCCCATCTTAAAATAATATTTTGAACCAGACAGAGGAGTTTCAGGCAGCCAAAAGGGACTGTAGGATGTTTTCATTCCTTTGGTTTAGAACCGTCGCACTCAACAGCAGAGCAAGTTTCAGAAAGCTTAACCAGGAATGCAGGGATTGATGAGCCATAGTAGTGCTGTCCTTTGGGTTATGTCAGCTCCCAGATGACTGATAGCTTTAATTCTGTGAGGCTTTATGCTTGCTGGGAGTAGAGCAGGGGGATGTGTTTCTGTGCAAGTGCCTCTTACGCTCTCTCTCGGTTTGAAGTGTTTTGTTTGAATTTGTATTTGGGCCTTTCTAAAGCACGCTGATGGTGATAGCCATTTCTTTGCTTTCAGCTAAGCCATAACATCAAGTCTGTGACCTTACGGCCCAGTGGCAGAAAGCTGTGCTGCCTGATGCTGACGCTGAAGGATACCAGCTTCCTGACCATTGATAAGGTACCGCTTAAAGACGCGAATGAGATGCGGATGTATTTGGATGCGGTCCATCAAGACAGGCTTCATACTGGTAAGTGTTGTAGTAGTAATTCACACCAGTGACAGCTTAGAGAAGGTACAATACTGTGGTATGGGTGTTTTTTTTTTTTTCCACCTTTAGCCACCTTTCCTCCTTACGTTACTTTCTGTGCATGTTATATTTGTGCAAATCTGTCTGGCTCTGACCCCCGGTTTTTGTTGTGTGCCTTTGTCATGCTGAACAATAAGCAGAGATGAAACAATCAGGGATTGTTTCTGTTGTGTGTACATCGGTATTTGAAAAACTCGTGTCTTTATCACACCTGCATAGTTTCTTTTGATTCTTCCACTTATTTTGGTTGTTTTAAGGGTAGGAACTTTTCTTCACACTGAGTAAATGGCCAATATAAGGGCAATCCATAAACATGTGCTTATGTCTATGCACTCAGAATGTTGTACTGTCTGTTGGCAAGAAATCTGGTGTGTCTCTTCCAAAACCAACCTCAAAATATCTTACACATACAAATGCTGGTCAGTGAAATGAGCATCAAATCAAACATTGTGTACTTTTCCTGTCAGCTGGGAAACCCTCTCAGGGATCTGGCAGCTTTGGAGGTGTGCTGGGCAGCAGGACCACACAGAAGGAAGCTAATAGGCAATTCTCTTATATAGAGAATCAGGTTTGTTCAACTGTTCATGTTTTTCCTCTTCTCTAATTTTATTTTGTTCATTTCCCCCTCTCATTCTCTTATTGCATGTTGTAATAGCACCATAAATATTTATTTTGCACCCAAAGTCTTTGTGTCTCTAGGGCTTGTAATAGATGCGTACAGGATGGTTGGCAATGGTGCTTCTTGCTTGTAAGGAGGCTCATAGTCTGTTTGCTTTAGGAAGGTCAACATCTGCCTGTAGAAAACCGTGCCTGTTCTTCAGACTGAGCTGTATCAGTCAGGCAGAAGAGGAGCAGCAATTGAAGGAAAGTGGTTGAGGCTTGCTTCTCAGTTTTGAATATCTTTGTTTATACTGAACACTTCAAATACATGGCAGCTGAGTAAGCTTTGATCAGTGCAGGTCTTAATGAGTTTGTACACATCTGGCTAAAGTGTGCAACTGAAGAGCTGATGGCTGAATTTTTGTATTATCAGAGTAGAGTTACTGAACCTGTGCCATTCTGCTTTTTCTCTGTGTGTATATTTTGCAGACTTCTCCCTGGAAGTGTTTTTTTTTTCAAAAGACTTTAGTTGTTCCTTCTCTCCCACCATGGTGTATCTACCAACTTTAATTTGCACTGTAATCTCTGTGAATATATCTTAATAGCCCTGAGGGCAAGTATTTTTTTACATTGTCCCAAAACAAATTTTGCATGTTGCTTAAAGGCAATCTCACAGTAAGAACTCTTAAGGTTGCATGTGCGTTGGTAAGATTAGACACATTTAGTTTTCAGGTATAAAGCTGACACACATTCCTTAGCTCGTTTCTCTGCATTGGCCCAGGGCTGTCAAGGCACTGTTTTAATTGTATGCCTTTTATATACCTTTTTTTTCTTCTTTTAATGCTACCCAGGATTGATCTGAGGGTGGTTAGGA